TTCACCCTGTTTTACACAAGATGATCATGAATTTTTCGACAGATTTTCTCGATGCGAGAATTACAGAAACGGGGCACAGGTACCAGACGCTTTGAATGTGGTAAACAAAACTTTCTTGTAAGTAAAAAATCTTCAAATTATCTTATTTTTTAAACCTTTGACGGATACCAAATTTTTGGGAGGGTGTATCTTTGTTAAGATAGAAAAATGTCTACACATCAAAATGCTGAAAACTTAAAATATAGTGGGTTCTATAAATTGACTTTTATTTACGTAAAGATAAATTTTTATTCATAAAAAATAGTTTATGTGGAATTTAATCGCTCTACTTGGATCTTTAAGCCAGTTATAATTATAACACTACTGATTAACTTTCCACATACATAGGTATGACATCTATACATGTCATGCAATATTTTGATTTTTATGCGTATTTTTGGCGCAAGAATGTTCACATATACATACATATGTATTTGTGGAAAATACAGATATGTTATCCATTTAAATAAGGGAAAAACCCCCAGATATTTTTGCCATTTTTTGAAATGCAACTTCCCAGCAAAAATAAAACGAAGTACTTCCAAAAGAAGAACATTTATCACCACTTCTAAAGTAGCACTAAGTGATTTTTTTACCTCCTGTGGAAGTTATGTTTAGTGACTTCCGCAGAAGCGAAAATAATACATTTATTTCAATGATGAAGATATATTTTTGTTGTTCTTACATTTTTTGAGTTAAAAAATTTTATTTTTGGGCTTTTGTATTAAACGTGTCTATTTCCCTTATTAATGTTAATATTATTTAAGTCAAATTAGTTATATTCTATAATACAATTTCGCATCCAAATAGCTTCCTAAAAAAGAACATAAAAATTACTTCTTAATAATGACTTCAGAAGTAGTGAATTTGGAATCAAATAAAAATAGATCCCTCCTATGATAAGCCTGTGTTAAAATCATCACTTCTGCAGTTCTTTTTCAGTACATCAATGGAGTAAATTCAACTTCTTTTTCGCTTCTTTGGATATTCTTTTTATACCCACTATCAAAAAAAATGGGGGGTATATTGATTTTGTCATTCCGTTTGTAACACATCGAAATATTGGTCATAGACCCACAAAAGTATATATATTCTGGGTCCTCATAAAATTCTAAGACGATCTAGCCATGTCTGTCCGTCTGTCTGTCTGTCTATCTGTCTGTTGAAAGCACGATAGAGTCCGAATGGAAAGAGCTAGAGGGTTGAAATTTCACATAAATATTTTTTATAGGTAAGGTTTGTTTGGTATTGAAAATGGGCAATATCGGTCCACGTTTTCGAATAGCCCACAGCCATATCTTGCTTAAAAATACAAATATAGCGAAGAAATTCGACATAAGTAAGTTCCTTATGATCCAAAATCACTATGCAAAATTTTATGAGGATCGGTCCATAATTGACCCTACCCCCCATAAAAGGTCCCCTTCAGAAAATGACTTTAACGCTCATTACTGGCTTAAAAATACTAGTATATAGATGAAATTCAACATAAGTAAGTTTCATACGAGTCAAAATCTATCTAAAAAAATTTATGAGGATCGGTCCATGATTGACCCTACCCCCCATATAAGGTCTCCTTTAGAAAATGACTGCAACGCTCATTAATGGTTTAAAAATACGAGTGTAGCGATGAAATTCGACACAAGGAATTTAATACGAACCAAATTCTGTCTACCAAATTTTATGAGGATCGACCCATAATTGACCCTACCCCCTATATAAGATCCCCTTCAGAAAATTACTTTAACGCTTATAACTGGCCTAAATATACGAGTATATATACGAGTATAGATTCGGCATAGCCGAATATAACACTCTTACTTGTTTTTGCTGGGTATGTTTGTCCATCATTTCGATTATTGAAACCTATACGTTAGCCTTCACCAAAAAGAAGCAGTCAGTACGAATTTAATTACAAAAAATCAAAAAATACCAGTTGTAAAACGAAAAAGACCAGAAAGTCCCCTTTTTTAGATTTTCGTTCAATCAGGGTGCCAAAAAGGTCCAAATGGACCAAAAATCCTTTCCTATAAATTGCATTATCTTAGGGCTTTTGCTTACTGCCTTATGCAAAAACGATTATTAAATTAACAATAATTATTAAAATCGGTTTTTATATGGAAATGTTCTTTTTATCATTTTTGCATAAGGCAGTTACTGTTTAATTTTATGTTTTTTTTTCACACTTACACTCTATATGCTTAATTTCATGTTTCTAGGTTCAATATTATAGAAAATTCAAAAAGTACTTCTTGAACAACGAAAAAGTTCCAAAAATACCCATTTTATAGATTCTCATTTACTCCAGTCTCTACATTCTTAACTTTATGTTTCTAGGTTCAATATTATAGAAAATTCAACAAGTACATTTTGAAGAACGAAAAAGTACCAAAAAGTCCCCTTTTATGGGTTTTCACTTAATTCGGACTCTACATACATAATTTCAAGTTTCTAGCCAATAACAACACTCTGCTTTATTCGTAACGTGTTCTTCATTTTTGCTTTGTTTTTATAAAAAACCAAGTACAAAAACAAAATTTACCGTATGATTATCGTTGTTGCTGTTGTTTGTTTATAATTTCTGTCTCAGCATGCTGTAAAAATCTTAATTTTTGATAAAATTTTCAGACGTTGACTAGGATTTTTGCTCATATCTTCGTTATTTAAGGACCGGTTTTGCTTATTTTAAATAGTGTTCTTCCCGAACATAAGTCTGATTATTGAAGATTCGGATCTCGCAGATATCTGGGATCTTCTAAACATTGACTCTGCTATCTATAAGGATCAAGAAAATATACTTTATAGAATTGGAAAATTATAGAAAATGTAAAAAATGCAAAAAATATAAAATTTGAATATTATTGGATTTACAACAACGTTTCCTATGTGATACCAAAATTGGGATTCATTGTAAGAAATAGCAAAAAAAAGTCACAAAATTCTCCAAAGGGTGCCTTTCATCTATATCACCAAATATGTATTGGCCGAAGGACAAACATTTTAAGATGCGACATAAACTTTAATTTTAGTTGGGGACATCATTTTGTACATGTGTATGTACATATGTACATTTACTTATACATATGTATGAACATTGTACAATGGTAAAGCAGCATAAACAAATACATATGTTGCATTTTGTAATACTTTGTCACTTGGGTAAAATTTAAAATTTATGCTGACATAGAATTAGAACTTAGAAATGAAAGATGCACATTTAATGTCTTAAGAATAGTATTTTTAGTTATTGTCTTGTTAGAAATAAAATCAATTCTAGAACCTTTTTCATGGAATTTGTTTGCAAAATTCCATCCAAAATTCATAAACTATTCTGAGGCACTGTACATACATAAGTATGCATATGTTATATATTATGTAGGTATGTAGTAGCATTATACTACCTACCTACTTACATATGTATGTATGTAGATATTTATGCAGACCTATAAGTACAAGTGCGTGAACAGACTGACATATAGGCAAACGAACAAACATATGTGTTGATATATGAGTACTCACATAATTTAAACTCATTTATACACATATAAATACTGTTCTGTTTCATATTTGTAATAATCAGGGAAACCAAAAATATTCTCTAAAAAAGTGTTTTAAGCGCATTAAATATGCTGTAAAAAACTCAAAAAATATGCTCTTAAAATTTAAAAAAATAAATAAAAGCATTCATTATTTTTTAACTATGGAAAGCCAAAAAGACTGAAAATGTTTGACACATTTCTTCCAATTGTATTCATAGCTTTTGACATTTTAATCGGTGTTTTCGTAGAATCCAATAATTATAGTTGCTAGTTTTTTAAATGACAATTATACATTGGACTCATGAAATCCAAAATTATCGGTTTAATGTCTCATTTAAAATCGAATAAAAAACTATAACATTGGATTTCACTAATGTAGTTTTCAGCTAATTTAGCTTTCAAGCTTTACAATCGAAAATGTTAGTTGTAAAACAGGCAGTAAAATTAAATTTATTTTTTCAATTTTAAAGAATAAAATTATTTTTTTTTTTTGAAAAACAATGTTTCTAAAAATATAAAAAATTAAGCACAAAGCATCAAAAAATGCACTAAAAGAGTAAAACATGCTCTAAAACTCGAAAATATGCGTTAAATATGCTACAAAAGTCAAATCATGCAAAATTATGCTCTTATGGGTAAAATATGCAAAAATATGCTCTAACAAATCGTTTCGAAAATTCTTAAATTGGTCTGAAACGTGTCTATACGGCGCATCACAAAAATATGCATTTGAATATTTTGGTTTCCCTGGTAATAATTGTTTCTCTCTTTTTAGGAGTAATCCATTCATTTACAATTCACTCATTTCTTAGAGTACTTATAATTATTGTTAAAGTATGTGTAAATACATCGCATCCAAGAATCTACCCAGCCGTTTTCAAAGAGCCAATGTATCCCAATTAGACAGTATAATCCCAAATACCTAACTACATTGTTGATTCGCATCCCATAATCTACATACCAGTTTTACAATCTATTCCTTTTAGATAGTATAATTCCAAAATATTTCACCACTTGTTCAATTCGAATTGAAATACTATTTGATCATTTAATAAACATATACATATTTTCTTTTTGAATCGAACATTAGTACTATCTTTAGGTCATCTAGATGAATGATACTTTAAACTATTTAGTATCACAGGTATGTAGTAATCCATAAGAAGTTATTTGTCAGAAAGTAAATTGTAAATTTTCAATCAAAGTGAAGAATTGATACCATAGCTAATTGACTTCCACCTAATAGGTACCAACAATGTTACAATAATGATGGGTAAAATCACTAGTTCGGGACATACGTCTAGAACTACGGGGTATGGATGGATGTACTTCAATAATAAACAAAAACTTATTTCTCATTATTATAATACAAACATACCTACATATAAAAGCAATGTCAATGTTCATTTTCACTTCAGTTATAATTTGGTCAATAAACCGTGTTGAATATTTAAAGCGGAAGAATATCGGGTTTAAAATTAACGATTTAAATAAACACTTGAATTTGAGAATAATAATTATAAAGTCGAAGGATAAAAAATTATTTACAAGTGAATTTTTTATTATTTTTTATGCAATAAAAATACAACAAAAGTTACAGAAATATTCTTTAAATATGGGATTGATTTGGATCGTATTATCTTCAATAGTTTTTATTATTTGTTTGTATGGATACTTGAAAGTTGTATATGAATGTGTTAGAAAAGTGCGAATAAAAAATACTGAAAATTTATCAAATAAAAAGACGGCAAGTGTTAACAAATGTGTTGAAGAAAAGAATGCTGCAAAAATCAATGTTAATGAATATAAGCAGGCACCAGGTCCATTACCATGGCCTATTTTGGGAAATTTAGCCCTATTAGGTCGTTATGATGTACCGTTTCAGGGATTTACAGAGTTAGCAAAACAATTTGGAAATGTTTATTCATTAACATTGGGTACAACCCGTTGTCTAATTGTTAATAACTTGGATTTAATTCGAGAAGTACTTAATCAGAATGGTAAATATTTTGGTGGTCGGCCAGATTTTTTACGTTTCCATGTTCTTTTTGGCGGTAATAGAAATAACTGTAAGTATAGGTTTATTTTTGGCTTTTCAAATTAAATTATTTCAATACTATTATTCTAATGATTCTCTTGGGATATTATTAGAAAATGAAATAATAAAATGAAACTGGTATAGTTCCTTCTAAATATTGGTATTTAATTATTTTTTATATTTCTTTTAAAATGCTTTAAGAGGAATTTAAAATTTGACTTGTATTAGTTTCATAATTATTTTCGGACTATAAGAATAAAATATAATAACATTTTTGTCTAATATAATAGCTCAAAGAAATTTGTTGGAAATTAAGCAAAATTCGGTATTTTAGATAGCTAAATGAAAGTTGGAAAAGGACTTTGTCATGAGACTAAAACTCATCATTAACCCAACGTACGCTAAGCAAAAAATTGGAGGCAAAGCTTATAAAAAATCAGTTTTTTGAGTGCATTATATTTCTATTACAGTGATATATTCAAATCATAATATAGATTGTAATTCGTAAGCTGTTATATATTAAACCTATTCAATCTACATGGAAAGCATAATCGTGTTTTTGTTACCCCTCTCAAGATGTACATTGCTTAGTATTATAATGATTCCCAAAAATTTAAAGTCTAGTGATGACTACTCGTCAGCTGTACCAAATTCAAAAAAGGTAGATTTAAAATTATTTTTTTTTTTTAATTTAGTATCATTTTGAGACAGTATGATATATCATTTGAATGGGGTTTTAAAGCGGCATACAATGGTATATGAAACATAAATAACCGTGTCCTTATAATTGTAATATTCTATTTAGCACACAGTTACAAAAAATCTTACCAATGATACCAAATATTGTATATTTTCTTTAAGAAAAAACTAAATAAAAAACACCTTTTTTGTAACAGGTTGAGCTCACTTAACACAAATCTTGAAACAGCTCACGAGCGGACATCACAAAACCCTAAATATTTTGGGAAACATCTTATGACATAACAAGGTATATTTTAAGTTGGGTAACTCAAGCTCCATTTTTTGTGAGTCGGTCTAATATATGTGATTATACATAATATTTCCGCGGAATTTTATTAACATCTGACTTCAGCTTTAAATATTTTGGACCAATTTTTGAATTTTCATAAAAGTAATAACACATTAATATTGGAAACACTATTGGAGCTAATTAAAGTTGACTTTTTCAAATTATAGACGAACATTGCACTATGGGCCACAAAGTGATGCTGTGATAGGGGACGTAATATAAATACCAGAAACAGTAACTGTTATATGTTTTATAATAAAACTTAAAATTTAATAATTATTTTTCAAGCCAATTTTTTCCTCAAAACCAAAACTTAATGTTAAGTTTTTTTATTTTTGTTCAAGAAATAACACTGTGTGACACTCAAAAACACTAATTACGCGATATAATGCTTTTTGTAGACCTAGATAAGTTGATCATTTTACCATTTTTAGAATCTTCAATATACCCTAAAAATCGGAAGATATTGGAAAAAACGCTTTTTGTTGACTAGACAGAAAAAAAAATATATCCCAAAATTTTTTTAACCGATTTAATATTTTTCAACTATTTTGAAAAGAGTTTTCTTTGTCCTTTTTAAAAAGTATACGCACTTTTATTTTTTTACGGAAATGTGTAAACTATTTAGATCTAAAAACAATTTTTTATATATATTTTTTTTAATTTTTTTAGGATTCACGATAATTTTTGACCCACACTTTATTACAAAACATATTTTTTATTTTAGCCCATATTTTTATTAATAAAATAAGATATGAAACGTTGAAATCTGATAAAAACTGACAAAAATAGATTTTTTTCGTAAAATCAAAAATTTTCCAAATCTCTCATTTCTAAAGCAAATTATCAAATAATCAAGCAGTGTCGCCAGATGTGGGGATTTCAACTTTTATTTGAGGACAGATTTTCGTGGTTAGGGATTTGGGGATTTTCGTAAAATTTGGGTTTTTTTTAATTTTTCGCTATTTTTGGGGATTTTTATATTTTTTATACTTAAATATTAACAATTATTTTCATTCTAGTTTAGTTTTTTTATATATTGATCTTTTTAAAATATTTCAAACAGGGTTCGCACCTTACCCTCTCCGATTTGGAGAAATTTGGGACACATACTCTTCGATAAATAAATACAAAATTCAATGGTTTAAAGATTTTTCAAAATCGTTAATTTTTAGATTATAACGAAATTTTTTCTCAATTTCTAAATAAATTGTTCGATTTTATTAATCTCGGTCTCAAATTAATAATTATGTGTTCTAGCTTGACAATTTTTGTTTTTAAATTAGGATTTATTATCCTATTCAAAAACATATTCGAGTCAAGTATGTATGTATCAAAAAAGGTATCTTTGATTTTTCTTTTTTGTTCGAAATTTTTAATTTTTTTTTGTTCATCAAAGATAAAAATTTTAAACTGGAGATCCTCATGGTCCTATTTAGATTTTTGTGTATGTTGTCGTTGACATTATAACCTAATTTTAGTAAAGGAATTATAAAAATTAAAAAATACATTTTTAAGATATCTTTGGTCAAGAATTGTTTTTGAATTTGTTATCCTACAATACCGTGCAACAGCATTTATTGGACTTAAACGAGACCATATACACATGATACTAGTGGTCTTATAAAGTAAAACTGCATTTTTAGTTTTTCATTTTCTGATCTTATCTCCTTTTTAAAGTACTTTGAAATTTTAAGGATATAAAAATGTCTTAAAATATTTCTATCAAATAGTTTTGGTCAATATGGGTATCAAATGAAAGAGGACAATCTATGAAAAACAAAACTATATTTTGTTTTTACTTTTCAGGACGAAAAAGTGTAAATAATATCTTCTAAAAATTCATCCTTTATATCCTTGAGAATTTTCAATATATTTTTCTCCAAAAATATATATAAAAATCCACCACCATCAGTGGTGATAGAGGGTATATATAACTTTGTCATTCCGTGTGTAACACCAAGAAATATTCATCTGAGACCCAACAAAGTATATATATTCTGGGTCCTTATCAAATTCTGAGTCGATTTAGCTATGTCCGTCTGTCCGTCCGTCCGTCTGTCTGTCTGTCTGTGTAAAACACGCTCACGTTAAAACGAAACAATATAATTTAACCAAATTCACCCAAAACATTCATTATTATCCGGTACAGTTTGGTATTGAAAATGAGCAAAATCGGTTCACATTGGGAAAAGTTATGAATCAAAATTTAAAACAACCTCGAAAAAAATAAGCATTTTTTACACATTCTGATGTAATTTTCTCGAAAACTATGCAAGATAATTCCATGAAAATCACCATACATTCGTTTCTATACAAGATCTTGATCACTGCTGAAAATTGCCAGAATCGGTCCACAATTTCATATACCTCCCATACAAAAGTACATATTCCCGGAAAATGGGTTTTTTGTTAATAACTTCCGTCAGAATGTTGATATCTTCACAAAATTTTACAAATTGAAATCTTATGTCAATAGAATTCATTCAGAGAAAAAATTTTCTGGATCGGTCCATAACTGGACATAGCTCCCATACAAGGTCCCCTACCGAAAATCACTTAAACGCGCATAACTCATTACTAAATTAAGATATCCATATAAAATTTGGTACAAGTATTGCCCATATGCATAGAAATATTACTGTGAAATTTTTTTTCCGATCGGTCCATAATTGGTCATAGCTCCCATACAAGGTCCCTTCCCGAAAATTACTTAAACACGCATAAATCATTACTTAATTAAGATATCCATATAAAATTTGGCATGAGCATTGCCCATATGCATAGAAATATTACTGTGAAAGTTTTTTCAGATCGGTCCATAACTGGACATAGCTCCCATACAAGGTCCCCTCCCGAAAATCACTTAAACGCGCATAACTCATTACTAAATTAAGATATCCATATAAAATTTGGTACAAGTATTGCCCATATGCATAGAAATATTACTGTGAAATTTTTTTCCGATCGGTCCATAATTGGTCATAGCTCCCATACAAGGTCCCCTCCCGAAAATTACTTAAACACGCATAAATCATTACTTAATTAATATATCCATATGAAATTTGGTACAAGTATTGCATATATACACAGAAACATTACTGTGAAATTTTTTTCCGATCGGTCCATAATTGGTCATAGCTCCCATACAAGGTCCCCTCCCGAAAATCACTTAAACGCGCATAACTCATTATTAAATTAAGATATCCATATAAAATTTGGTACGAGCACTGCCCATATGCATAGAAATATTACTGTGAAATTTTTTTCCGATCGGTCCATAATTGGTCATAGCTCCCATACAAGGTCCCCTCCCGAAAATCACTTAAACGCGCTTAACTCATTATTAAATTAAGATATCCATATAAAATTTGGTACGAGCACTGCCCATATGCATAGAAATATTACTGTGAAAGTTTTTTCCGATCGGTCCATAATTGGTCATAGCTCCCATACAAGGTCCCCTCCCGAAAATCACTTAAACGCGCATAACTCATTACTAAATTAAGATATCCATATAAAATTTGGTATATGTATTGCCCATATGCATAGAAATATTACTAAGAAAGTTTTTTCCGATCGGTGTATAATTGGTCATAGCTCCCATACAAGGTCCCCTCCCGAAAATCACTTAAACGCGCATGACTCATTACTAAATTAAGATATCCATATAAAATTTGGTATAAAAATTGCCCAAATGCATAGAAATATTACTAAGAAAGTTTTTTCCGATCGGTCCATAATTGGTCATAGCTCCCATACAAGGTCCCCTCCTGAAAATCACTTAAACGCACAGATATCATTACTTAATTAAGATATCCATAAAAAAAATTTGGTACATGTATTGCACATATGCACAGAAATATTACTGTGACATTTTTTTCCGATCGGTACATAATTGGTCATAGCTCCCATACAAGGTCACCTCCCGAAAATCACTTAAACGCACATAACTCATTACTAAATTAAGATATCCATATAAAGTTTGGTACAAGTATTGC